AGGGAATGTGGGAATTTGGGAACTTGGGAAATGTGGGAATTGGGGAATGTGGGAATTGGGGAATGAGGGAAAATTAGGGAATTTGGGAATTTGGAAATTTGGGAATTGGGGAATGTGGGAATTGGGGAATTGGGGAATGTGGGAATGTGGGAATTGGGGAATGTGGGAATTGGGGAATGTGGGAATTGGGGAATGTGGGAATTGGGGAATGTGGGAATTGGGGAATGTGGGAATTGGGGAATGTGGGAATTGGGGAATGTGGGAATTGGGGAATGTGGGAATTGGGGAATGTGGGAATTGGGGAATGTGGGAATTGGGGAATGTGGGAATTGGGGAATGTGGGAATTGGGGAATGTGGGAATTGGGGAATGTGGGAATTGGGGAATGTGGGAATTGGGGAATGTGGGAATTGGGGAATGTGGGAATTGGGGAATGTGGGAATTGGGGAATGTGGGAATTGGGGAATGTGGGAATTGGGGAATGTGGGAATTGGGGAATGTGGGAATTGGGGAATGTGGGAATTGGGGAATGTGGGAATTGGGGAATGTGGGAATTGGGGAATGTGGGAATTGGGGAATGTGGGAATTGGGGAATGTGGGAATTGGGGAATGTGGGAATTGGGGAATGTGGGAATTGGGGAATGTGGGAATTGGGGAATGTGGGAATTGGGGAATGTGGGAATTGGGGAATGTGGGAATTGGGGAATGTGGGAATTGGGGAATGTGGGAATTGGGGAATGTGGGAATTGGGGAATGTGGGAATTGGGGAATGTGGGAATTGGGGAATGTGGGAATTGGGGAATGTGGGAATTGGGGAATGTGGGAATTGGGGAATGTGGGAATTGGGGAATGTGGGAATTGGGGAATGTGGGAATTGGGGAATGTGGGAATTGGGGAATGTGGGAATTGGGGAATGTGGGAATTGGGGAATGTGGGAATTGGGGAATGTGGGAATTGGGGAATGTGGGAATTGGGGAATGTGGGAATTGGGGAATGTGGGAATTGGGGAATGTGGGAATTGGGGAATGTTGGAATTTGGGAATTTGGGAATTCGGAGATTTAGGAACTCGGAGCTTTGGGAATTCGGAGATTTTGGAATTTGGAGATTTGGGAATTCGAAGATTTGGGAATTCGGATATTTGGAAATTTGGAAATTTGGGAATTTCGAGATTTGAATATATAGAAATTCGAAACTCTAAAAATTTAGGAATTTAGAAAGTTGGATCCCTACAAGTCACTCTCAGAAATCCGAATAAATTGGAATATTCAGTTCCATCGTTATATTTTCTCATTTTGTGAAGATAACGCCTGATAGCTTAATCACATGTAAATTGTTTATCTAGAAACTGCGTATAGGAATTAAATCCATTTCTTTATGATCGACTGTCTGAAAGAAGATCTAATTACACGACATGATGAAGCGAATATTGCAAGAAACTGTTACAAGGAAATCTATTAATATTCTTCTCTATATTTGTTTCCATTGAAGCCATAAAATTTGTTATGACTATAACAGTTAGCCAAAGGTTTTCTTCTTTTACTTCTACAAAATTTCTTTAAAATGTAACCCGTCAAAATGCATGTTCTTTATTTTGAATTACTGAAATTATTAAGACATGAAGAATAAAATAAATTTCATCCCTTATTTATCGTTGTACTTTTTTTTAATATAACTGCACAAAGTTTGTAAGTCTGGTATTGAAGATACAAAATAAAAGGCATTTTTTGTAAAATTTCAGAAGCTAAATATAAAGAATATATAGAATGTAAGGAATGTAGAGTCTGTAAAGAAGCTCTGTGTAATTATTTGTGAAAACACTTGATATGTTGTTTCGGCGAAGTATAGTGAGAACTTATCCGATGATAAATGCTTAAGAGCTTCTCAAGTTTACCGCATGAGGATACCACAATCAATTCAAATTCACTTTACATTTGTTTGATATTTGACAATAAAAATAATTGTATTGTAGAATAGCTATAAAGCAACATTTTTACAAAGTAACCTTAAAAGAAAGCGATAACAATAATGACTTCTGTACCACTTTCAGAAATACTCTCTTTTAACAATTTTTACTTGAATCCGATTGAAGGTTTACAAAAAGAATTGTCACTTACGTTCAGAAATAATTTTATTACATATTTCCATGAACACGTAAATAAAAGAAACTTATGACTATATGAAATGTGCAGTACTTAAGAACTAAGTTCATTAATGTCTGTTGTTAAATAAGAGGGATGTCTTCGAATATTCACAAGAAATACTGTGTAAACGATTTTCACAAAAATCCTTCCAGTACATTAACTTAATCTTAACGTCGAAATTATTGGACTAACTTGGTAGTTCAGTTATTTTTAGTACAATAGGATGGTTCGGTACTAAAAAGACGCTGCGTGGATCGTTCTCGAATGGAACGTGTGTTTCCTCGCACACGTCGACTTTATACTTTATGATAACTTTAATCAGTGCAATTTTTGTTTGGAAAATTGCGAAACGAGCACCTGCAAAAGACAAACTTAGTTAAAATTCAATTTCATTTTATAAGTTAAACGTGAAATAATTTTTTCTATGTCTATGAATAAAAATAGATTGTTATAATTTGTTAAATGTTATTTAACAAAAATTTTCAAATGAAATTTATTTTAAAAAATTTTATTTTTTCATAAATTCGTTTTAGTTTACCGATACAGTTCCTTGGTCCATCACCAAACGGTAAATAGCTCATGGGATGCCTTTTCGCTACCTCATCCTCCTGAAACCGATTAATATCGTAAACCTCAGGATTAGGATAAATGTCAGGATCACGGTGTATCGCGTATGCAGGGATAAAAATCCTTGTGCCCTTAGGTATCGAGAGTTTTAGATCTTCGAAAGTGTAGTCCTCTACTGCTTCTCTCATAATAACTGTCAGTGGTGGATATTTTCTAAGTGTTTCTGCAAAACAAACATAAGATATACTACTATGTTATACCTTCTAAAAACTAAAATTTCATAGCTACATTATCAATCTGTCTGATAATATCGATCGAACATACGATAGTATAATATATGATATGTGGAATTAATTCGGCATTAAAAGTTGTACAAGCCATGGATTAGTCTATAATATCCGATCAAAGTTCAACAGTGAAATTATCGTATAAAATAGTGTTAATTAACTAGTAGAACAAGATCATGATACTTAACGTTGTTTGACTATTTTTAGTCTATACGATAAGGTACTTTTGTTAAATAAGAGGGATACGATAAGGTACTAATCTATGTATCAACGATTTCAAAATGAGATGTTATCGGAAATTCTGAAATAACTTCCCGGATGAACGATAACTCAAATCGTTAGTTTTCAAATTTCACTATAACCCAAAAATTTATATAGTATCACATTTTTAATATAATTTGATATAATTCATATAATTTGTTAAGGAACGAAATACATCGATCATAGAAGTGAAGGTAACTGAACAGTATACTCAGCGGTATACAGTCGCCATCTTGATTCTTTACCTGATTGACTCTTAACATACCACATTACTTCGAAAGATTGTCAAAATGTTCGTCCTGAATCTCAACATTTATACAGACCTTTGAATACCGCATCCAAAATTGGCATTTCCTTGATGTCATCGTACAACCATTTTCCATTATTCAGTGCGTAATGCTCTTTAATTTCTTCTCGGACTCTGTCTTGCACATCTTGATTTTGAGCCAATTCATATAAGGCGTGGGTCACCGTGGATGCTGAGGTTTCGAACCCAGCCGCGAAGAACAGAAATGCTTGCGCAGACAACAATGATTCCGTTAGCTCTGCAAAAGAGGTACATATGCTCCTGATATTCAACGTAAACATATTTAGTGCTCAAACATACTCTCCACTCGTAAACTTCATATCATTTGTTTTATGTGACAAGTCACCAATTTTCTGATAGAAAAAAGTGATTTGACATTTTGAAGAAATGTTTAAAATTATGAAATGGAGCGAATAGTGAGCTTCGTTCTTGTCACAATATTGCAATATCCATAGTGTTGCTACGATAGCAATACACTATACTGTTCACCTTATCAAGAATAAAATTTAAAAAACAAATAAATTTTTACATATTTAATAATGGCTATATAAAACCTTCTATACCTACCAATACCCAACTTCTCAGGATGTGCCTGAAGTTCGATTAACGTATTAATAAAATCATGTCTAACAACGTTGTTCTTCTTCCGATACTCTATCATATCTGACACAGCCTTCGTGAAGAACTTTGTCATCTTGTTGTAAGGAATTATGTAACCCAGTAAAGTGTACAATCTCGGGAAGCCCTCCCGTAGTCTCAGTCTGATCGTAGATTTTAATCCAGAACTGAAAAACTCCTTTCCTGCGTCACGGAATTCTGACTCCTTTTGGGTCATGGCGTTCGTTTCGATTCCAAAAGCGCAGCTGCCGATTACGTCGGTTGTGAACCGAGCTGCCAATTCGCGACAATCAACGGGTTTTCCTTCTGATACCATTTTTGCTAAGTATTTCTCGAAGGTGAGGGAACATTCCAAAATCAGAGTGAACATCTCCTTTAATTTGCCGCTGGTGAATGTTGGAGATAACTTTGCTCTTAGAGGCCGCCATCTTTTGGGCTCCAGAGAGAACAGGTGTTGAGACAACGGTTCCGCCTGCGTTAAATATTCGTACTTTTATAAATAAATAAATTATATAAATACATAAAATGTTTAGTTCAAAAGAGATTAGAGTACAAGAAACATTGTACCTAACTAGAAGTCTTGAATCTTCTATGTAAAATCGAAATTCAGTTAAGTTACATATCTCATAAGATATTTTCTCAAAACATATGTTTTCAAATAATTAACATTTAATTCAAATATTAACTGATTAAATCTTAAAGTTATCAATTGTTAGATCAGTTTCTGTACGTTTGTTAAATGTACAATCTACAAGACATTGACCCCTTATTACGCAGATACTCAGATTACTTGATTAATGTCCACGAGGACCAGCTGATAATATCAGTCTACTCATCAATATATTTAAAAAGCTTATTTTTTATCACTTGTCAATCATTTCTATCTATCGAACGTTATTGCGTGATAGAAAAGTGATAACCTTCATTTTTGATAGCCTATCTGAACTTTACGAGCTGGTAGCATGTGTCTAATTAAAAAAATATTGATCCTCTAATATTCCTAGTAAAGTTTATAAATCTGTGCCAATTATTATTTAAAACTTCTTGAACTATTTTTTCTTCAACTATATTTTTATTTAAAATCGGTCTGTTTTAAATTATTTAATTGCATGATGTACGAATTTAACGCGGTATGTTTCATTTTGCATTGGAATTTGTCTTCCAAACAAAATGGACAACAAGAGAAAGTTCGACCATCTTATATTACGGAGTTGGACATTTTATTTTTTTGTGAACTCACCACTTCGTTTATAGCAATTCCACGATGAGCGAATTTAGAGAAGTCCTTGATCAGAATGGTTTTAATTAAATCAAGATCCTTTACAGCCAGAAGACGTTTTTCCCGAATAAACAGCCCAATCACAGGTTCATTTTTGTACTGATGGTAAAATTTGACCATTTGATCACCAATGGACATTCTTCCTAGCAGCATATCCATAAAGTTACCGAAAAGTGGCACAGGCTTGGGTCCTGGTATGCCACGTTGCTTCCAAAAGTCATGATCCTGTACCATGTAATAGTACAAAGCTAGGAGGATCAGGACGATCCCACAAAGAAGTTCAAACCCAGTCATTTTATCCCAATGTTTACCAAATCTTCAACGACCAGTGAAAAGCTATAAAATGAAATAAAAATAAAGATATGCTACTAGAAAGTCTTACGGAGATATTTTTTTAACTTATAATCAATGTAAATTTTCTTTAATTTCAAGTTATATATTTTTAATTAATTTTTTTGTAACTGAGATTAAAATTTGAAATTTGAAAATAATCAAAGGAAAAATAAGAAAATATTAGATTAAGAAATAACATAAAAATATCACTTATTTTAATAAAGTAAAAATAATATATTAATTAAAATATTTGCCTGAATATGATCCAATCCAACTTAATTCACTTACGTCGAAACGATTTTCATTCCAAAACTGCTTAGCACATACTGTTCTATTAATACTTAGTACAATTGATTATAAGTCTAAGTATACATTGTGCAAGATTATCAGGAGCCATTTAATCACAGGTATGAAATCTATATTATTATTTTCCCCCATAAATCACAATTCCCAAAACAATAGTATGGGCGTCAAAAAAAAGATAAGCTCGAATTTTATCGATAACAGTTATATAAGATTAATATTTATATTCGCTTTTGTTAAAAGCTACCATTCTGTAAAATCTGTGATATGCGACCATGTGCATAATTAGGCACGTCAATCATTTTGATAAATGAATACGTACGTGTCAGGCTATTTTTATATAAAAGTAATAAAAATTCGATCACTTAATTACCTGGGATTAAAAAATATCGGTCAAAGAGATTCACAATAAACAATACTTGTTTCACCAACATTATCTTTATTGATAGAAAAATAACAGTAAATCTTTAATTTAATGATTATTATGTACAAAGTTCATGCTTCTTCCATCATTCTATAAATTACATTGTATAAATAAAAATATTAAATTAAAATTCTATAATTAAAATTAGAAAATTTAACTCGGAGGTGCTGCTTTGTTTTGAGATCTTCTGGCTTGATCTGGAGCTGAAATAAAATTGTATAAACACATGTACAACATTAATAAACTAAATGAAAAAAATAAATTGATAAATAGATTAAAATAGTTACCTTTCTGTGGAGTCTCCCATGATATAAAACCTCCGTTTATTATGCTCGTTTCTATTGGTTTACTTTATCTAATGTGTGGGGTTGTGGGTAATTTATTCGAAACATAACCACAATAATCCTTTTCTGCAACAAATGTACATCGAAAATTATACTTATCACGAATAAAGAATTACTGATTTATTAAAATTTGTTTATACCAGAAGATTTTACACCTCGACGATTATTTATGAAGCTCTTTTTTCTTGTCTTTTTCAAAGAAGTTTTATTTTCTTTCTGCTTCAATTCTTGAACATTAACTTTTCTAACTAATTTTCTAGGTGTAGGTGTATTTACTACAATAATATTCCTATTCCTTAAAACTTTTATATTTTCATTATATCCACTTGGTTCTTCTTTATTATTTATACAAATACATTTGTGTGGTTCTGAGCCTGTATTCTCTGCAAGACTCTTAAGTTGTGTTGAAGTAATATTCAGTGTTAAATCTTCATCCAACTCTTTGTTACTTTCATCCACAGCATATTGTCCTGTTAGACATGTTTTTGAAAATGGTGTGTTATTTAAATCTGAATGTTTAACAGGAGTTGCAGTTTGTATATTTATAGATGGAACTTTAGTTCTTTTTCTATCAATAGAATTTCTTAATTCAGAATTTTGCAAGTTACCATCACCAAATTCTTCAGAATTAAATCTAAGTCTTCTTTTTATATTAATTGCTACTTCATCTGGACTACAAATACTACATTCATCTAGTTCAGGACTTATACATAAATTTGGTTTCCACAAAATTTCTTGATTAACTAATACTTCATTTGAAATTATATTCTGGTCAACTTCAACTTTAACTGTTGATTTTATACAAGATTCTATTTTGGTTGAATCATTTGATTGTTTCAGGATTGTTTTTCTTGATGTTGAGGATATTTCATCTACCTTTACAGTTGGTAAATTTCCTATACTTTTCATTGCTGCAGATATTTGTATTTCTTGCAGATTCAGTTGTGTTTTGTCCTGTCTAACAGGAGTATATTTTTTAGACTCATCTTTTAAATCACTAAGACTGAATACACATTCAGATTGCTGTTCTTTTCTGGCACTGGATTTTTTACAACTAAGAACTACATATGGTGAATACAATATTGCTTCATCCTGAGGATCATTTGGTGCCAATATAAACATATTATTCTTTGAAGAACAAAGTGTTTTTGTATCTTGTACTTTTAATTCACTATCACCATTATTATTATTGTTGATATCATTATAAATAAATCTTTTTTCGTCAAATAATGATTTTATTAACGCAGGTTCTATAAAACTCTCACTTAACTCATCTGTATCTTCTTGTTTGTGAATTACTGTTATATTACTGTTTTTGTGATTGACATTTTCCACTGTATATTCTGTAGTATTACTTATTCTGGAAGTTTCTGATATCTTTGTAGGTGACAATGAAGATTTATTGATCTTGGTATGTGATATTCTTTTTACACGTACTCCAACAAATAATGGAATACGAGATAAGTTTGTTCGGGATTTAGATCTATAATCTGCAGGTGCAAAAGATTTTTCTTGTTTTCCTTGATTCTTTTGTCCATTATTTAGAGATTTTTGTTTTTTACTTGACTGATCTATTGGTGTTTTTATAAGACCTTTGTTCATTAATCTTTTCTCTGTAGCTTTTGTAATTCTTTTTGGTAAAGATGCAGATGATGTCGGTACAGTTTTATTACATACCTTGTTGTTAGTTATATTTGAATTAGTGGTACGATAACTTGGTATTGGAGAATATACTTTATGATGGACAATTCCAACTACAAAAGGTCTTTTCTTTTTCATTTGTTCGATCCTACGTCTTTCTTGTTCAGCCTTCCATTTCATGAATCTAGTGAGATTATCTTTGACCACATGATTTGATTGCATTTCTGAAAGTAAATTGCAATCAAATCATAAATAATAATGATACAAATAATAAATCTGATGAATATCAAGAAGTTCTGATACAAACTTTTATTCTCTGTCGTACTGGAAGTTGGAATATTTCTACAGTTATTGAAATTTTCAGCTCTTTGTCTTTTACGTGATTCTTCACGTTCTTTAGCACGAATAAATCGACTTTCTTTTGTGTTTCCAAAACCTATTACCTTTTCCTTATACTTTTGTTGAAAGGCTGACATTTTATTTGGTACAGTAAATCTTCACTTCTTGTTTAACGGTAATATTTAATCAGCATTAACTGAAAACAATTTGAATTTATTGTACAATGTTATGTTTTCAATACCAATGTCACCGAGTCACCAATCACGGGAAAGAAGCTTCCAAACTTCCATGATTAGAGAACCATAATGCCGAATAAGTTTCTGTTCATACTGCGCAGATCTGTTCTGATTGGTTCTAACATGTTTTGCAATAACGAAGTACGGGTAATATTGTTTATGTATAATTTATAATTGACAATAAAATTTATCATTTTAAGTTGTTCATTATTAAGTCCTATAACCTATTCTATGCTACGTAACGATTCCATATTTTGCAAGTAATTTTTAAGTCCATACATATATTAAGTCCATGTGTGATTAAATTGGTATAATTTATTATAGAATAAAAATGTAAACTTCTACTACAAATTCTGCGTGTAAGAATTTGTAAAAATAAATAAAAATGTGAAATACCCGAACAAAAAAATCCTTGTTACAGCATTGTTAAAAGTGTTATTTTTAACATAACTCGCGCATTTTGTTTTTTACGAGTATCAAAGTACTGATTAATATTTGAAGTTTGCACCTAAAGCTTATACATAATTTTGCATCATTACATTTTAAAATTTCCAGTTTTTATTGTATTACTCCCGTTTTATGTAACTCCACATTTTTACTAAGTGCCAAAAATAATTAATATCTTATCACATACAAAAATATAAAAAATGTAACGTATTATAGTGTATTTATAACATTGTATGTATAAAATACGATATAGGTTATTGATTCCTTTGTAATATCCAATATTTCAGTGTTCTTGTTCGATTTCTTCTTGATTAATAAACAAATTTTGTGCCTGAGGCAACTGATACAGGTAACAACATCAAAAAGTATTTTTGAATTTATATTCATGTTAACTTATGTACCATTACACTAATGAAATAATTTGTAACAAATATTAACACATGTATATTAGAATAAATTTCATTTATAATAATTGTTAAGTGTAATTTTTAAGACAGTCATTAAAGTGTTTATTACCAGTAAGTTAAAAAATGGCTTTTAGTATTTTCCGTTTTGCTCACAGGAATTCAATCAAGTATATCTTAGTTTCCACTATGTCCACATTGGTGTCAGTAGATGAGCGTATGTTAAAAGGAATAAGAAGAATAATTCCAAATTTAAACAACACCAAGTACAAAGGTCAGGATGGCAGGATTGGCATATTTGGTGGTAGTAATGAATATACAGGTGCACCATATTTTGCTGCAATGAGTGCTCTGCGTACTGGATGTGACTTAGTACATATATTTTGCACAAAGGATGCAAGCATTCCTTTAAAGTCATATAGCCCAGAGCCTATTATCCATCCAGTCTTAGACCAGTATGATGCAATTAAGCAAATAAGACCATGGCTGGATCGGTTACATGTAATTATTATTGGACCTGGTCTTGGTAGAGAGGACAAAATATTCAAAACAATTGTGGAACTTATTTCAATTTGTCGTGAAATGAAAAAACCATTGGTGATAGATGCTGATGGATTATTCTTAGTCAGCCAGAAACCTGACATCATAAAAGAGTATCCAGGTGTTATTCTTACTCCAAATGCTATGGAGTTTAGCCGTTTGGTGAAAGGAGTACTTGACAAAAGTATTCAACCTACTCCAATGGTTAAAGCCAATGATGTTAAACATTTGGCAGATGCTCTTGGGAAAAATGTAGTAATTTTGCATAAAGGAGCAAAGGATGTAATAGCAGATGGTCACAAAGGTACTGAAGCTGTGTCATGTGGACTGGCAGGATCTGGAAGAAGGTGTGGAGGACAGGGAGACCTATTGGTTGGGGCATTGGCTGTATTTTGGTGGTGGGCTATTTGTGCAGGAAGTAGTGAAAGTGCTGTGTCAGCTCCAATAGCTGCTAGTTATGCTGCATCTAGATTAGTTAGAGAATGCAACACATCTGCATATAAGATAAAACAGAGAGGAACATTAACATCTGATATGATAGAACAGATACAACCTGTTTTTGCTAGAATCTTTGAAACTCACTGTAACAAGTAAGGCATTTGGTTTAAGGAACTATGCATTTGTATGAAAGATATTGTTATTTTTTTATTTGAAATGTAATGAATATTAATTGTAGAACCTCTTCGTTCAATGGGAGAAATCGAACACGAAGCACTGATGATTGAAATGTACTTGTATTTTCTAATATTTCAATATAAACAACTAACTTATGTTTTGGCTAATTCCATTGATAATCCCTGGATCACTAAGTTATAAAATACTGAAGTTACATTAGCAATGCATTAGAAGAGTTTGGAATCATAAATTCAAGTATTACTAATAAAGTTTTAATATCATTAATTATATTACAAAATAAATAATACATTTTATAAGTTTTGAGGGGTTTAATTTTACTAATTTTTGTTCACTTAAATTCATATTTACAATACTATGAATTTATAATATTTTATCTATAAGGTAATTGCTCTGTTGTTTTACATCAAAGTTACTTTTGTGTTCACTAAGTATATTGATTCCTTAGAAAAGAAAGATATAATATTGTTTTATAGATGATAAGGATTACATCAATCAACAAATTTTAACTTTTCTTAAAATATGTGCTGAATAAGAATCTATAAATGGTTTCGAATTTGAGGAAAAAGTATACATTTTCAGTTTTTAAGATTTCTAAGTTAGTGACCTCTTGCGGTGAAACTGAGAAACTCCATTCAGGAGTTGGCGAGTCTCTTCTTGCAGAAGAGACAAGGATAGCAATAATTTGGTCGTTCGAAGATTTTCAAAGAAAGAGACGATAATTTCTTATGCTTTCTTTTTTTAAATACTTTTGCATAATTATACAGAATGTTTTTAGATTCGTATTCAGTGTACAAAGATCTCCATGAAATGCTTATTGAATATTAATGGCCCAAATAAGTGTTGAACAATGTTATTCATAATCCATATTATGTTACTAATATAAATTATTTACACGTGAGTGTAAAATAATAATATATCTAGCTTCTAAATTGAAGAAGTCTAATTGAAAATAATATGCAGCTAAGCTTTGTCCTTACACTTTTATTCTATAGCTAAGAAATATTTTAAAAGCATTATATACTTCTTTAACTTTACATTCAATTCATGAACAATACATGTTTATCTAAAAAACATTTCTTATTTCTGTGAAATACTTCAATAGTTTTCATTACCATTTTAAATATATAAGTCATTATTACTTTTAAGTACAAATATTTCGTACTGCAATTGAAATCCTAATAAAAAAATTTGTGTAGATAGGAATAATTATAAAAAATACACTGGGATCTGAAAAATATTGTACACTTATCGTTTTGTTTAAAACACTCTGTGTTCCTGCTGAGAAGTGAGGACTATTTCTTTGATGTCATAGAATTACTTCCATTATAAAAATGTTAATATCATATAATTAAATTAATTGATTATATATGTCGCTAAGAAGTTTACCACAATCGATAAAAAATTGAACTGTGTATTTAAGTGATACTGCATGCCATTTGCATAAGTCACGTACATATTAACGTGCCATATATTACTACTTAAACGAAACTGCACACTTTCAAAACGCCTTTGCTAAAATACTTTAATGTATCCTAAAGCCCTGTAAGTATCAAATTCACGACATTATTATTTATCGAAGTAAGTACCTATATTGTTGTCTTTCTACATTAAAATAATCTCGTCATTAAGTACCACTGGGCTCAACGTCGGTAAATACTGTATAAAAACGAAAACAAATGATAATATCTAACTAACTTTTGGCATGAATATACCGAATACTGGTCTGTTCATATTTGAAAATGTCTCCGCCGTTCGCGTAGACCTTTTCACCACGCTTTTTAACGTAAGTACCTTTAGATTCTAAAATTGTATTATTGTTTAATATAATATCGGTGAACTACGAGTAGAATGTCAACACGGACGTATGATTTCCGCGTATTAAAAGAGTCGGTGGCATATCTTTGGTCAAAGCTTCTAGCCATGCCATGTAAAGCGGAGCGGAAACTGCACCCTTTCGTGGCATTGGCAGGGACCTGCAATTTACAATTTTTGTTTTTTTTTGGTACCACAATTTACCTAAATATCGGTGTATTCTGTTTGTATAAATATTGTGAGTACGTACATTACAACCAGTGTGGACTGGCTAGAGTTTTCTAGTAACAGTTCTCGTAATCTCAGTTGCCTGTGTGTTTTGTCTTTTAGGGTTTGTAGTTCAAGATCTGTTACACAGCAATCTGCAATAACATGTTAGGTTAGGTTTAAGTTTAAGTTAGATTTAGGTTTAGGTTAGGTTTAAGTTAAGGTTAGGTTTAGATTTAGGTTAGGTTTAGGAACTACTCTATTACTATCTGATAAATGATATAAATTTCTCGATAATGTTTTCATAATTCGAACAAGAATATAATATTATTTTACCTGTATCGGCAGAGTCATTTTTCCGAAAATCAGATATAAGTTTATCAAACAAATCTTGTGTTTCTTGTTTAGGCTGAACACTGATATCATCCACCATCTTCAAACTTGTGTATTTTATTCTGAATTTCGCCATAATCTCTGCCATCCTAGAAATTGCAAAATTAATTAAATTAATTGAACTCTTAGTTTAGAATTAAAAATTTTATTTAATGTTTAACTTACTCTTTCTCTTGTGCCACAATATCTTGCTTGTGGTTAGCCAATGCAAAAATCCTCATTTTGCAGTGCTCCCAGTTTGAGCGTGTGCTAATAATATATGGCAACAGAATCGTCAAACCTGTCGAATAACAATTTCTGCCACTTACAAATGAGCCTATATTCTTGCACAATTCAATTGCAAACAATTGGGATGCTGGTTTGCTAATAAAACTGTATGAACTTGTATAATATTAGACAATACTTGTGTTACTGTAGTGAGCATCCCAATTGTTTGCAGAAGCTTGTAAATATTTTATGAATTACCTCCATCATCGTACAACCACCACACATCAATGGTTCCAGTCTTATGTTTTTTTTGGAAAATTGCTAAGCGTTCAGGAACAGGTGTCATCGCGTGTCGCTTTTCCCTGTTAATGGAAGATGTATCAAAATATATTTAATTGTACATTAACATGGTATTTAATTGTAATTACTGAAGAAACTATAGCTTTGTCAAATGACAACACTGAGATACACAACTTAATAAATTTTGTTATGGAAGTTATCCATTATCTCGTAACCCGTTAATCGAAGTTATTATACAAGTGTAATTAATTTTAACTCTTACATTAACTTCTCGATCGCATGTTTCCGTTTGGTCTTCAGGTATTCACGAGCGCTTCCATGAGTAGGCGAATCTCGTATCATCTGAGGTCCATCGGTAGTCGAGAATTGAGTCCCTGACACATCTAATTAAAATCCGAATACAGTTTAGCAATTTTATAAGCGACAAACAAGGAAGAAATTTCTTAGTATTCTTTGTTCGCTACTGACGAATTTTGTACATTGCATTCAAATATTAATAAATAATAAATACCCATTGTTGGCACGCTCTGAACCCTCGGTATCTGACTGGACATGGACAAATTGCTGTCCACATGCATCAAAGTATTTCCCGTTAAATCATAGCTGCTCTGCGCTAAAATACCATGCTCATCGTCGCCATTTGCTGTCACGATTTCGGAACAGTCCAAACCTTCCGCAATTCGCAACATCGCCACCGCTAATTTCTGGTCAAATGCGTTACTGTAAAATTTTATTACAAACATGAAATATGCAATAAAATAATCTGTATTGAATAAGTCTTTCGGTATAAAGCTATAAAATATATTCGGTATAAAGTTATAAAGCAAATGGTTCTCGACTTACTGAAGAACGTTGAAATACTCTTGAAGATCCTTATGATTGCAAGTACCCCAGTGCGTTTTATATCCCATCAGAACCACGTTCGGCGCTAATTTCCCGACACCTGTTGCTTGCATTAAAGCCGACGCACCCCGTTCGAAGCTCAAGTCCTCCACCACGTGATAGAACGACTTTATACGTTGTTGATGCAACCACGCGTAGCCATTCCTCAATCGTACCGATCGCAAACGGTAAGACAGACGAGTCTGAGAAAATGTAGATTAAATGTATATGAAGGTGTCGAAAGGGTGGTTACGAATATAGAAGAACGCGGAAGGCAAGTAAGTTTATTTGAACTACATACCGGATATATTTCTCCGGAAATCAGCAACGAGTGGTTTTTCGTGATGAGATTTGCCAGATGCAGCAAGGCTGGCCTGGCGCCAGGCAGTCCGCTTAGTGCCAAAATTTGGGGAGCGTAATTTTTCACGTGTTCGTCGATGGAATTCAACCTGTAACGTTTTATTTTGTTATGTATTAAATTTTTGGTGGTTGCATGTATCTCGAGAAGATGTCTTTAAGGAGTGTTAAGGGTAAATGAGTGTAGAGAGTGAGTGTAAAGGGTGAACTCTTAAATATCCGTTCTAATAGTAAAGGCATGAAAAATAATTGCAGCTAAAAAAGATATTTTGAAGAACATCCTAATAACATAACATCCTAAATAAAATAATAAATAACATAAGAAGCAGTGTGTATTTGATTTAAAATTCCATATTGATTTTACGAATTTATACATCGATTCTTTACATTTATTTCAAAATATAATTATGATAAAAATTACAATTATGATAAAATTATGATTGGTCTCACCTGTATACGATAGAAAGTGCAGTTTTGTAAGTTTGCGCCTGAGTACTGCTGCCCCAATTCACATCAGGCTTTCGATAAACGACTATTAAGTACAGTGCGAAGATAATTACAAAGGTAACCAGCGATGTTACCCAATCAATGAGGAACATTATGGACACACACGTGATAAAACCTGATAACGACAACCAGGTGTTGTAATACTGTGAAAACACATTTAATCTTTGTTAATTATTTGATAGGTGTTTACTGAAGGTTGATGTTATATTACTTACTCTGAAAGTAGGACGCCATCCGAGTGGTCGAATTAGTGCCGCGTGAAAAGTGCAGAAATTGATCAACGCGTAGGATGCTAGGTAGAAGTTTGAGATCAAAGGTGCGACTGCATTCAAATTTGCTGAAAAGGGATGAAGTCATGATGAATATCTTTATTAAGGTTTATTGAGGTTTATTAAGGTTATTTCACGGAAATGAAGCTTGAGTTGTTAAGTTGTCTAAATAGTTTAAATACAATAAAAATATTTCTTTTATTAATAAAAATTTTATGTATATCATTTGACAATTTCATTTAATGAAATGCATTTTACTTTATTTTATCATTTCATCATGCATTTTACTGCATTATTTTTATCATGATTTTTTCTTATTTCTAAGATGTGGTTTTATGATAAATAGTTTTATTTTATTCGTACCGATTAAGAGGAACAGTGCTGCAACAAAGAACGTAAGAATATAGCCACGATAGGGTTCACCATGTTTTCCGTAACCTTTACTGAAATAAATCAGTCCAGGATAAATTCGATCTTTTCCCAAAGCTTGTATCAATCGTGGAACAGATAATAAATTTGTTAGAGCTGTAGAAAGTGTTGCGGCGAAACAACCGGCGTAGATGAATGGTCCCCAGACTGACATTAGCTGCATTACCTTCAAAGGGAAAGAAAAATCATTTTAGAGAATTTATGGATTTACTAATTTCGAATGTTTCAAATTCTCACTTTGCCAAATTCTTTTACTCAGAAATTGTCACATTTCTAAATTCTCTCACCCCCAAATTCTCACGTCCCCAAATTCTTGCACCCCCAAATTCTCACGTCTCCAAATTCTCTCACTCCCCAAATCTCACGCCCCCAAATTTCCTCATCCCTAAATTCTCACGTTTCCAAAACCTTACACCCCCAAATTCTCACGTTTCCAAATTCTCTCACCCCCAAATTTTCACGTTTCTAAATTCTCACGTCTTCAAATCCTCACGTTCCCAAATTCTTGCACCCCCAAATTCTCTCACTCCCCAAATCTCACGCCCCCAAATTCCCTCACCCCCAAATTCTCACGTTCCCAAAACCTTGCACCCCCAAATTCTCACGTCTCCAAATTCTCTCACTCCCCAATTCCAACGCCCCCAAATTCCCTCACCCCCAAATTCTCGCGTTCCCAAAACCTTGAATTCCCAACTTTCACCTCCCTAATTCTCACGTCTCCAAATTCTCATCTCCCCAAAATCTCAATTTCCCAAATTCCCAAATTACCAAATATCCCAATCCCCAAATTCCTAAATTCCCAAATTCCTAAATCCCCAAATTCCTAAATTCCCAAATTCCTAAATCCCCAAATTCCTAAATCCCCAAATTCCTAAATCCCCAAATTCCCAAATTTCCAACCATTCCAACATCTAAATTTTGCCCCAACGTACCGAATAGCTATTATGCAAGCCATAAGTGCAATTAACTTCCGGAATACAGTTCACAATAGTGTTGTTTGCGTCAATAAAGCCGCCGGCATCCCTGAGGGCTGCTCCACCAGCGAAAAGCACAAACGTCAGATAGCTCAGCATAGAGATTAGCAACGCGAGCAGAGTTCCTATCGGTATGCTGCTTGCCGCATCCTTCAGGTCACCGGAAATATTAGCACCCGCTTGAATTCCGGTCACGGAGGGGAAGAAAATAGCGAACACGGAGAAAAACGTTTGGTTGCTGTTCTCCGAGAACCGATAATCTGGTCCTAAGTTCTTCTTGAAGACTTCAGCTGGGAATTGAAAAAATTGTCTGTTTAAAAAGAACATGTTGAACGTATTATTAATTGTTGAGTTTTGTATTATTGAATTTTTAAATATATTGACTATTATGTTACATCTTTTCAAACATTATTAATGAGTGTAATTTAAATTTTTAAATTGAAATATAAGATTTAAAATTAATATTTTAAACCATTTGTAATATTTTTTATTAAACGTTGTTAGTGTAACTGTTTGTGTGCAGATTATTTTCTACAATGTTGTGTATTTGTTTTACAATTGACATAAATTATTTTTACAAATTTCTCATCAATTTTTCTGTTAAATATATTTGACAGCGTCCTTGCAATTTCGCTTACCGGAAAATCCCATGAATCCTTTGGCTTCTTGACTTATGTTCCTCGGACCCATTATGGTACCAATTAAAAAGTCGAAAATGGCTCCAACAATGATGGCTATGAGGAAATTTTGCGCCTGAAACAAATGAATTTTATTAAACAAGAAATCTAAAGAATATATTATAAAATCAAGTATTACTTGTTCAACTTTCTCATACTGTGTCTTGTACAATGTTCTAGAGTCAATTTTAATGATAATTTTGTATATATATAAAATATTTATATTTTTCCATATTGAATATGTAGATATGTTTTCAATAAAGTTAATTTTACATGATACTGAAGTTCATGCAACTTTCTAAATAAAATCTGAACGTGTATGTAATGTATTTTATATTTGTAAACAAATAATATTACCTTCGACTCCCACTCCATTCCAATCGCACAGATCATGATCATAACGATCAGAGCGATTATACCCACGATTCGTACATCGTTCACTCCATTATCGATGATCTTCAGATTATGTTCTCGCAGTAAATCGTTTAGGGAATCACAGAAACCGATGGTATTCATGGAAGCTGAGACTGCATTAGCGAATGCGAAAACAATCCCAACCGATGCACCAAATTCTGCTCCCAGGGTTCGTGAGATGATGAAGTATATACCACCTATTGAAATGGGCGTTTATAAGATGTCGTATACGTAACTATAATTGACTTTATGATTATTTATGAGAATTATAATTGACTTTATGATTTTTTATGAGAAGTCTAAAGTGCTCAACGATATAATAATGCAAATTATATCAGAAGGAAAAATTATATCATTAACTTGAATATTTATTTAATTTTTTCTTTTGTTCAATGTGTGCAGTAAAAATTAGAAAATGTGCTAAAATAATGTATTATTATAATGTACAATGTATAAGTGATTGATAAGTATTGATAGGAACATGTTTTATAAATAACATGTAATGTAAAATATAAAATATATAAGTTTGTACTGGACTGTCCCTTCTGGGCAGCCATTTTAAATATTCAAACAAGACCTTAGAATGCAAAGAGTCAATAAACCATGTAACATATATATAACATATGATGACAAATAATATTATATAATGTATCAGATTTTAGCTTATGTAACTCTATGTAAGTTTAAAGAAAAAATTAATGTCAAGAACTTAGCACAAATTCGAATTTAGCTCAAACATAGAATAGTATCTTAAAACTCGCAATTCCATAAAAGCAATAGTGTTCTGAGCTCAACCTATTGCTCTCAAACTCCGACACAATGAACTCAAAATAAAAAAGTAAAAATAGAAAAATGTTCATTCTATAAAATTTTAAATTCCCCCAACTTTCCCAGAAATCAAATCGCCATCCTAAAACGTCATCGAGCACTATTCGGTTCGTGGAAAAGCAATATTCAAGTTCGATTCAAGCGACAAAGTACACGTTGGCACTCCTTTGAAAAAAAAAAGACGGAATGAACGAGTAGAATGGGGGTCCTGTAACACACCTCCCTTTACTTCCCCATTAGTACTAATTGCGCTGAGGCTAAGCGTCGTGATGACGCAGACAGCCGCCGATATTCCGATAATGATGACACTCTGCAGTATGCCAGCTTGTGCCACCACCCACGACAGCCGTAGGAAAAGCATCACACCCCATATGTTCAGCAGACATGGTATGAGAACACCCTGTATCCATCCTAGCTTTATTCCCGTGTGTCCTTGCTGCGTTGTCCCGGTTTGACCAGCTTCTATATTCGGGTCCTGGAAATTCCAAACCTCTCTTTATTTTCTCTGTCGTTTCCCGTTCTGACCGATTGTTCGCCGTGTTACGGTTTTAGGATCCGGGGGAGGGAAGTTTTATGCCTACGGTGGTAATCAAAAGACGGTTTTGGAAGGCAATCGCGAACACGGTCAACGACTTCACCGGATACGCCGGTTGCTGAGTAAACACTCCTTTTCACGATTTATGGCTACTGTAGTTTGTTAAACTCCTCAGGGAGGGATTTATGGGGATCGTAAAGCGAACTATTTTAATACGTATAAAACGATACACATGCGATACAATGGTTTCGGCGATGTCTGGTTGTGATACTTAATTCGAGAAATGGGATTGAGGGGATTTTGGGTGTAGAGGGTCAAGTATTAATTGGAAGTATTGTATGTGAGGTGTTTTAATTGGGGGACTTTGGTATTAGAGGAGTTGTGAGGGGTTGAAATTTTGTAGTGCGGGGATTGTGGAATTTTGGGAGTTTGGGAGTTTGGGGCTTTGGGGTTATGGACGTATAGGGTTTTGGGACTTTAGGACTTTGATAATTTTTAATTTGGAGGGGTTGGGAAATTGGAATTTAGGAAGTTGGGAATGTGGAATTGGGAAATGTGGGAATAGGGGAATGTGGGAATTGGGGAATGTGGGAATTGGAGAATGTGGGAATTGAGGAATGTAGGAATTGGGGTGCGTAGGAATTGGGAAGAGTGAGAATTGGGGAATGTGGAAATTGGGAAGAGTGAGAATTGGGGAATGTGGGAATTGGGGAACGTGGGAATTGGGAAATATGGGAATTGGGGAATGTGGGAATTGTGAATGTGGGAATTGGGGAATGTGGGAATTGGAGAGTGTAGGTATTGGGGAGAGTGGGAATTGGAGAATGTGGGAATTGGGGAATGTGGGATTTGGGAGACGTGGAAATTGGGGAATGTGGAAATTGGGGAATGTGGGATTTGGGGAATGTGGGAATTGGCGAATGTAGAAATTGAGGAATGTTGGAATTGGAGAATGTAGGAATTGGGAAATGTGAGTCTATTAATCTCCACACAGGCACCCTTCTTACTACAATTTATCTCTTCACTCTCCTACCACACAAAATATATAATTTTCTAAATTTTCACAACTTTCCATCAGCAAACTCAAGTAGCTATCGACACGATCCATCGTAATTCCATTAAAGAAGAAAAAACTTAGCAATTAAAGTTAGTAACGAATAATTTGATGAGTTCGCTTCTTCTCTTATATTAACTCTTCTTACTACAGTAACTGTCGCGAAGAAAAAAAAGGGTTTCGAAATTGATACTTTTTCTAATTTTCCTCGCAGCTGGTATTTACTGCTGTGCAAATTTAATATAGTTTCTCCCTCATAGTATTCGCTCCGAGTTCGATCGTTCTTGTTGATGGAGGAAGCTCCTTCGGGTCTCATTTGACTCTCGAGGCTACGAACTTTTACGAGCTGATTACCTTGTCAGTTCTAATAAACACGTTTTTCACTATGTATTTTATGTAATTAAAATTACTTCATCTTGTTGCAAAATGCATGCAAACATTTTGCAGAAAACTGTGGGAAAGTTCGACTAAAAACAAACTATATATTAAATAAATTAATATATATGTCGTTTGTATAATTAACATATTAAATTATGCAAAGCGACATATTAATTTGAAGATATTTAATTTTCGATCTTGCAAAAATTCAATGTTATATGTTCATAAATATTAACAAAAGATACTTCTCCTCAGAAAAATAAAAAAAAAATGCAGTACATAATATTTCAAACTTACAAAACATTTTTAGAGGACAAAAATTATGGTCACAAGACAGAAAACTTCTTCAGTAATTTTGATGTACTATAATTTCTTCTGTACTCTAATATCTTGTACTATAATATTGACGTATTATAATATCTTCTATTTATGTATGTTCATTAAAGTGCAATAATTTATAAGTATGTTATTTTATGTAGTAAATGTACAATACGTATTTAGATATATTCAAGTAGAATATTTACGACAATACATTCAGAAGAAAGAGTTAATTAATTGATTTCTGTATCTGGTTTCATTCTATTTGCCATATTTAACGACATCGAATATCAGTTACATATCCATGAAACGTTCGATTATTTCTGAAACTCGAATATGTATGACCTCTGGTAATTACACGATACTTTTCAATGCACTGGATAATATTACAACGAGAACGTTATGACGAGTGTCCACAGGGTGTGGCAATCTTACCTTTATAAGATTTCCTTCGTGCAGGGTGCTCAGTGATGGCCTCTTGGCACGGCGGCTCAATCTACAAACAGAGACGTTCTTATGACTCACGGTAATAGTATTAGTGAGGGAATAAAGTTAATTAAATTGGACTAAACTGATGAATTATACGAGAGTGCCCCCATTACTGTCAACAAGCCAATTTTTTTGAAATCGTGCGCTAATCTTAAAACGTTCCGTGAATCAGCACATTCTTTACACATATATATGAAATTTTCCAACAGAGTACTGTTAGAATTTTTTATAATTTTTTTATAATAGTACAGGTACCAATTTTAGCACACGTACTAAAAATATTTAATAACTTAACTTTTCCTAAAATATTAAAAAAATTCAAAGAAGAGTTTCGAATATAAATTTTGATGTGTGGAGACATTCACATGACAGTTTTAGTATGTTCATATATGACGCAGGCAACAACTGTTAATTTTAACAGGATAATTCTGACAACAACGTAACAGAATGTCTTCAATGTATTAATTTAATCATCACATGCAACGTGTGCATAATGTATTTATTTTACAGTGTGCTACGTTCTGTATGTACATGTGTATTGTTTCATTAATGTCCACAGAGAAACTTTTTATGTAAACGTGGAAGTATTCTTGGAATATTAGAACAATCATTTAACAATGTTGTGTGTGAAAGGGATTTTCTTCTTCGTATGTCACGCGTTGTATGGTCACACATAACATATGTAGTCACGTGTTGTACATTTATTGACAATAACGATTTGACAATGAAGAGCTATATTTAGAAAAATTCATTTATATTTAAAAAATGATGTAACCTTTACAGTCACTTTTGGAGAAATATAGGGAGAGTGTACTGTAATACAGTTCTTAGGACAAGGAGTAATTTGCTCACCTATAATGATCCAACCGTGGGACAACGTCCCACAGTCCACTGACGTTTAGGGTCATTGGTAATCTCTTGTTATTTTGGCCTCCACCAATTACCTCATCATCCATAGCTTTAAGTGCAAGTCAACTGCGACTCGATGAATCTGAAAAAGACAGAAGAAACTTATTTAAGCACTTTTCAGTAATATTTCATTTAACGACTCTTGCAATTATTAGTACTTAGAAATTTGGAATGTGGAGATTTGGGAATGTAGGAATTGGGGAATGTTGGAATTTGGGAATGTGGGAACATGTTCACGAATTTTCACATTCCCCAATTCCCACATTCTCCAATTCCCATATTCCCCAATTCCCATATTCCCTAATTCCCATATTCCCCAATTCCCATATTCCCTAATTCCCATATTCCCCAATTCCCATATTCCCTAATTCCCATATTCCCCAATTCCCATATTCCCTAATTCCCATATTCCCCAATTCCCATATTCCCTAATTCCCATATTCCCCAATTCCCATATTCCCTAATTCCCATATTCCCCAATTCCCATATTCCCTAATTCCCATATTCCCCAATTCCCATATTCCCTAATTCCCATATTCCCCAATTCCCATATTCCCCAATTTCCATATTCCCCAATTCCCATATTCCCCAATTCCCATATTCCCCAATTTCCACGTTTCCCAATTCCTACATTCCCCAATTCCGACATTCCCCAATTTCTACATTCCCCAATTCCCATATTCCCCAATTCCCATATTCCCCAATTCCACCAGTTCCCAATTCCCACATTCCCCAATTCCCATATTCCCCAATTCTCACATTCCCCAATTCCCACATTCTCCAATTCCCATATTCCCTAATTCCCACATTCCCCAATTCCCACATTCCCCAATTCCAACATTCTTAATTATTATAAAAATGACATTCTTTTATTACAATTAAGAGTCAGAGGAAATAAACAACCTAACCTCTCATCAAAATATAAAGTCAATAAACAATTTGCAAATGAATATATTACTCCATCTCCAGCATTGTGTAAGTGCATAGTAACTCTCCTTTAGATAATTTACAATAGAAATGTAAGTTTACAATTTTACAGTAAAATAAACAATTATATTTTTTCTTTCACTAAGTCGAACGAACATGTACACTTTTAAAAGACATATTTACCTCGCAAGTTTCACAATGACTCAACAAGTGACAAATAGGAAGCTCGCACAAGGCTTTTTACAAGAAACAATGTTACAGCTGTTAAGCGACAACACGACGATGTTCTATGTATATCAATTCACACTGTGAGGAAAAATTAGAATTTTCTGAACTTTTTGTCTTTCCACAAATTCGTTGCGCGAATGCATTTTAATAACTCTGAGTAATACTTCCAGCTCGTGCAGAAAAGAATATTCAGTTTCTTCTTGAAAACATCATTTATTCTTGGAAAATAATGTTTGTTAAACTAGAAATATGACTCGATGAGCTGTTACTTTCAGATTAAAAAGATGGAACGATGAGTAAATGGGGGAGGAAATAATTCTTTAGGGATGAAAATATTTTTTATATTGACAGGAGATATATTTTGAAAAAATCATCTCGATTTCTATAGTTTAAAGAGATCTAACAACGAGATGTGTTGTGTGAACCTAGTTTGTTATTATTAATTGGAGCATGTTTGCACCACTTCTGAATTCATTTTTTATTACATATCTGCATATAATGTTATTATTTTATACAATACTTTTTTGTATTTTTTTTGTACTCTATTATAATTGATCCAAACTAATTAATAATTAGTTCAGATAACTAAACTAGTTAACTAATATTACCTTAAATGTTATGTACATGTATCATGACATAATAACATATTAAATATTAAATTACTTTTCAAATACAACATTTACACGGACTGTTTAAAGAAGGAATGACTCTCCCAAGCTTTTTAAAGAAATTCATTGAAGGACGTACCGGACATGACCTACAGTTAAAAGTACCAAAAATACGTTCGGAGAGTAGGGGTTTAACCATCGAAATCCTAAAATTAGCATGTTCGGTTCGTATTGCATCCTTCCGTTAGTAATGCATGAATTCCTTCGACGCGATTAGGCAGGAAATGTTAATTACTCGTCAGGAAATGTCTTGACAAATCCTTTACCGAGAAAACTCTTAAATTTGTCATCGTAATGTCATCTTGAAATCTTCCGGTACAGTTTGCCAAATACTCGAAATTCCATCGCTAATCGTATTTCTGTCATTCGACAGTAGATAACACGTTTAGTTATATGGTTTTTGGCATTTTTCCAAATAATCTTGCATTACATGTAAGACGTGTATCATAAAATGGCGTCGATCTTGCGTAACGAAATTGACAGATTTATGGTGATATTATTATTTTAAAATATGTGTTCACTCATTGTGTATCTATATATGTAATATATTTATTATACAAATATATGAACGCAATTATTAAATATTTAAAATGCAACTGAGAATGTTACTAAACAAACGTTTGATACATCAAATATGAATTGCAAGTAATATTACTCAAAACTTGAATTAAACAATATTAATGTATCTACATACAGCACACGTATAAATACATATTATTGGTTCTTTTAATAAATGAAATTACTAAATTTATTTTTACATGATTTTTATTGTGAGTACACAGAAATAGTTGAAATGATGAATTTCAAAATATAAATTCATATTTGAACACCATGGAGGTTTCGACTTTTGATACATCAAATATGACTTACAAGTAATATTATTCAAAACGTGAATTAAACAATATTAATGTATCTACATACAGCACACGTATAAATACATATTATTGGTTCTTTTAATAAATAAAATTACTAAATTTATTTTTACATGATTTTTATTGTGAGTACACAGAAATAGTTGAAATGATGAATTTCAAAATATAAATTCATATTTGAACACCATGGAGGTTTCGACTTTTGATACATCAAATATGACTTACAAGTAATATTATTCAAAACGTGAATTAAACAATATTAATGTATCTACATACAGCACACGTATAAATACATATTATTGGTTCTTTTAATAAATAAAATTACTAAATTTATTTTTACATGATTTTTATTGTGAGTACACAGAAATAGTTGAAATGATGAATTTCAAAATATAAATTCATATTTGAACACCATGGAGGTTTCGACTTTTGATACATCAAATATGACTTACAAGTAATATTATTCAAAACGTGAATTAAACAATATTAATGTATCTACATACAGCACACGTATAAATACATATTATTGGTTCTTTTAATAAATAAAATTACTAAATTTATTTTTACATGATTTTTATTGTGAGTACACAGAAATAGTTGAAATGATGAATTTCAAAATATAAATTCATATTTGAACACCATGGAGGTTTCGACTTTTGATACATCAAATATGACTTACAAGTAATATTATTCAAAACGTGAATTAAACAATATTAATGTATCTACATACAGCACACGTATAAATACATATTATTGGTTCTTTTAATAAATAAAATTACTAAATTTATTTTTACATGATTTTTATTGTGAGTACACAGAAATAGTTGAAATGATGAATTTCAAAATATAAATTCATATTTGAACACCATGGAGGTTTCGACTTTTGATACATCAAATATGACTTACAAGTAATATTATTCAAAACGTGAATTAAACAATATTAATGTATCTACATACAGCACACGTATAAATACATATTATTGGTTCTTTTAATAAATAAAATTACTAAATTTATTTTTACATGATTTTTATTGTGAGTACACAGAAATAGTTGAAATGATGAATTTCAAAATATAAATTCATATTTGAACACCATGGAGGTTTCGACTTTTGATACATCAAATATGACTTACAAGTAATATTATTCAAAACGTGAATTAAACAATATTAATGTATCTACATACAGCACACGTATAAATACATATTATTGGTTCTTTTAATAAATAAAATTACTAAATTTATTTTTACATGATTTTTATTGTGAGTACACAGAAATAGTTGAAATGATGAATTTCAAAATATAAATTCATATTTGAACCCGATGGAGGTTTCGACAGACATGTATACATATATGTATCTGTTATATATAAAACAATAAAAAGGTATGGTGTCTCAATTACGTTCATTACACGTATGTATGGAAGCTACATACGTATCATATGACGATTCACCTGTATAAAGTTGAGAAAAAGAAAACAAGGCAGTGTATTCTGTCGAAAAATCGATATGAAACGCAGCGTGAAACATAGAAGTCGTTGATGTCAACCTGTTAACTGAGTCCAAACATGGACAATAACTTCCTATAAACTTATTGAACGCAGAAGAAATATTGTGACTGTATATTGTGAAAGCAATTAATCATTTCGGTTCCGAGAAGAGTTCCAACAGTCCAAGAAGAGTTCCAATTAATGAAGTTGTCTTGTAATGACAAACAAGCATTAAAATTTACGAAGTAGTACACAGAGATATATTCTGGATATTTTGAAACATAAATATCTCTTAGTCAAGTTTCCTTTTTTATATTTCAAAGCCAATATTTAAAATTAATATCTATATTTGTAAATATGGATGAAGAAAATATAATTGATGGACCAGAAATGTTGCAAGTAGAATTTCAATAAATATTTCCCTGTCCATTTCACTAAAATAATCATTTAAAAAGTTACAATAAGTAATGACATTCGAAATAACGCAAGTTTATTGTTCCACCGACGTTAGAAGGAAACATAGAAGCTTTAAAACCCGCAATTAAACGCTCAATCGAAACAAACGGAAATAAAGCAGAATTCACTATTTGGTATTTTATCCAGTCCTGCCAACGTTCAACGAACGTTTAATTTTTCTTCTAGAATACGTCACTGCGAGGAGACAAAGAAGAAAAACAGCGACGCACGTTCGTGCAAATACTCGTCGATTGTTTACAGCCTCATCTTCTCAGCCTTCGCGTATTTTTGAATTTCGCCCGGTCAGAGACGAAAAATCAAGAATCGTTGGAAAAATAGATTTTCGAAGAAAGGATCAATTTGTTACCATAAGGCGAAAGAACTGCTCCCACACCGTTTACACGAATTCTCGCGAAACTACTTGGCCGCCATCCCAGAAATCGT